TTAATGCATACTGACTACCAGAGGCAGAACTTCCATTGGCTCTGTTACAGGGGTAATTTACACTTTAACAAGGTATTGTGACAAGGTGGTAATTATATTTTTATCACGTCATTATGACATTACCACCTGGAAAGCTATAGCTGATTAATTAGTGGCATATATTAAATTTATAACCCTAGAACTCTAAAGTTATCATACCTAAGTGGTGTAATTATGTTGAACTGTGGTGTGGCAGTGAACTGGAGGTGAAGATGCTGAGTATCCACCTATTGCAATAGGTTTAATGAGTGCCAGTAGAGGGCAGGGAGCTGCAGAGAAGGAATTTTTTTTTTCTTTTTTTTTTTAAGAAATACTAAGGAAGAGGGTGAAGTCATTGAAATCTTGAAACCACATCTAGTCAGATGGCAAGTTGCAAGTCTACTTACATATATGTGTTTTTTAAAAATATATAATTTGAGAGAATTTTTATTTACAGTAGTTCCTGCTTTTATTTCACAGCTTTATTTTAGTTAGTTCATGTACATTTGGGGTTTTACAATGCAGCCATTTCTCTTGAACTTATCAAAGCTTAGATTGGCCATTCTGGAGACTGCATCACCTCTCTGCAACTAATAGTAAGCACTGGTTTTGGCAGGATGGATTTTTCTTAGTCTTGTCCATATGCCCAGGTGGTTTATGTTGCTCTTCCTGGTTTACTTTTTTTCTCTTGCCCTTGATAATAGGAGATAAGGAAAAGAAATAATGCTGGAAGTAATTAATGAAAATGTCCACAACAAATAGCTTGATCAAGTGTGTTCCCATATCCTTATGCAGTAAATACAGAGATATTTTTAAACCAAATCTATTTGTATCCAAATTGCCATGTTAAAGGTCAGAGCTCCTGTTTTGAATTGTTTTGATTTTCACTGTTCATTGTGCTTTTCGCAGTCATATTTGCAAGTAACTCATGTTTTATTCTCCCTTTCCACTATAGAAAATGAAGTGACTACTTTCCCCGTGTTGGTGAGTGATCAGAGTGAAATTGTGGATACCAATGGAGCTGGAGATGCATTTGTTGGAGGTATTTCTTAGTTCTTTCTCTTGTTTAGAGATTATCCTATTATTCTCTCTGTATACAATCTACCATTTTTTCATTCAACTGTCCCCCGGAATGAGCTTCATTCCTTTAGAGCTTTTCTCTGCATCTTGAAGTTATATGATTTAATTAAGTTCTGATTTTCAAAGGGAAAGTGTGTTCTATTACTTTAAAAATAATTTGCCATTATGCTGTACTCTGGTCGTTTTCATGAGATTAATTGTATCTGTCAGACTGTTGCATAAACAAGCTGCATCAAGCACTACATAGTGTACAGAAATCCCCCCTGGCTTAAATGTTAACACATTGTTGTCCTTTAAAACAGGTTGTAGTGAATATTAAACAGTATGTTAATAAGTAAGCATAACGTCTTCTGATCATGTCAATTTTGGTGGAACATCTGCTTCCAATACAATTATTTGGACATCAGAAAAGAACACAAAGGGTTAATTTGTTAAAACAAACCCAGAAAATATCTGGCATTGCTTAATACCCATTTGCAAACTTACTATTTTTTTTGGCACGAGCTCTGAGGAAAAAAGAGGATGTTATGTCTATGCCTGTTTGAAAAAATTATTCAATATAAGCCAAAAACCAATCTAATCCAAAAGTTCTATCATTCATTGTAACTTTCATACATGTAGTTCTGTGATGCGCTATTGCATCTGATGGCGCTAATATCCAGTATGTAGTAGCTGTAAGGAGCTCCATTAGTCACTAATTTACTGGAAACATTAGCGAAGAGGCTTTATAAATAGAATTGCAGGGCTCGGTCTTGTAGCTATGAAGGGGATAACAAGCAGTGTGCTACCAAATTAAAGCTTTAGAATGGTATGCTGCTTCCAGAAAGTATTCCACATAAGCTTAATTTTAAGCATGTGAGTAATTCTATCCCTACTCAATACATCATTTAAACCAATGATAAATTTTCAGAATATGCTTAAATCTGGCTGAAAATTGGTATGATAGCACTCGTTGCTTTGGTGCTTTCAGGAATCAAGAAGGACAGAAATAGAGAGAAACATGTCAGGTCATATTATACATCCACCTTTTGGTGCACGCTTTTCACTCTGTTGTTCCTAAATCACAAACGAGACTAAATTTCAACCAGTAAGTTAACAGTGAATATAACATAAATAAGATGTTCTTCAAGTGCTTGTCCTTGTATACATGTGCTCTGTGTATCAGTTGTGCCAGTAAGTTGCTGTTCTTGTTGTGCAAAAAAGATAAAAGATCTTGCCGATTTTGCTTTCAGATCCTGACAATGAAACCATACTGAGTAGAGCCCAGATGAGCAATACGGTAGACACCAACCAAGCT